GCATCACAGCCCCCTGTCAGCGACTGACAGTAAAGCCAGTCAGCAAAATGCCATTTAGAGAAATTACCTTAATACGTGTTACCCCCATCTAATCCGTGTCCCTTCCTGAAAGGGATTGATGGTGCAGGAGAACAACAGCATCTGTTGCTGGAAGGAGAGCTTCCTGAGGAGCAGATGGGGCCGCTGCGCCCTGGGGGGACCCTCACTCCTCCTGCGACCAAGATGTCATCAGTTGTCAACAGGATGGAGAAGATGGAGATGGAGAAGAAATGGAGCAAGGTGCCTCAGAGATGTCAAAACTTCTCCGGGCTCTGAGTGTAGCTCTAGAGATTGAAGGAGCTCTTGGGGTTTGAAAGAAAAATTTGGCCTTTGTGAGTTTTTTCTTTAGCTTGGGATGGTCTCACAGGCAACATCTCACTGAAAGTGATTTGGCTGCCAGGCCAGATAACCAGGCCCTGACCACAGCAGGGACCAACACCTGCATTTGGAGTTGCCAATAGCCCTGTCCCCAGGACGGTCACTGAGGTGCCTTCTCTGGGCACAAACCCACAGCCCCAGGTACCTCCCGGGCCAGGGTAGCTCCAATGGAGATGGTTGGGTTTGGTGTACACACACTTGGAGTCTGCAAGGTGCTCTGGCATGTGGCTGGATCCTTCCCATGGCAGCAGAGCCTCGCCCGCGCTCTGCTGTGTCGTGTGTGCCCCCAGAGGGCAGGGCCATGTCTGACTCCTCACGAAGGGTCCCTCCTCACCCCCCGGATGGATGCGGGGCCTGAGGGGAGGGCTCTGACGTGAGTCCCATCCTTTACCCCCGGCCCGGCGGGTAAACACCCCCGAGTGCCGCTGCCCCGCGGGGGCTGCCCGGGGGAGCCGCAGCCGCTGCTCCCGGGCGGTGGGGAGGGAGGCTGGGGGGATCGGGGCCGGGCGCGGCGAAGGTGCCGGGGCCGCCTCTCCCTCCCCCCGCGCCGCTTCCTTTTATATCGATGCGGCACCGCCGCCCGCAGCCACAACCTGCGGCCGTGACGCCGCCGACAGCCGGAGGGACGAGGCTTCGCCCCGCGCCCAGGTAGGGGCTGCCCGTGCCCCCCGGGCGGGCGGAGCGGGGAGGGAGCGACAGGGAGATGGGGATCGCCCGGGGGAGCCGGGAGGAGCCTGAGCGGAGCCGTGGGGTGGGCACCCGTTGGGGAGCCGCGGGGCGGGGAGGACCCGGGGGAGCCCCCGCCCCGCCGTTCCCCGCCCCGGCCGGAGGGTGCGGATCGGCGGGGCCAGCGGAGGAATGCTCAGAATTCCCCGGACAGCGCCTTCCCGCCGCCTCCCACGGGGCCGAGAGGTCTGTGGGGCCGCGGGCAGAGCCGCGGCGGCACAAGGGCGGCCGAAGGGAGCCCTGGTCGGGCTCTGCTTCCCTCGGTGCACCGGGACTGTGAGGCCGCCCGGGTCAGCAGGGGCCGGGGGGAATCTGCTCATGGCTGCGAGGGGGTGACAGGCCAGAGGCGGGAGGGTCCTCTGTGCCACCGGTGTGGCATTAACCCGCACCATCTTCAGCCACTGCCGGGTTGAAGCCGAACAGCAGCACCCTGGGCTGGTTGGCCTCAAGAGGAAACCACGGTTTGGTTCTGTGAACAAGGCGTGCTGCTCATGGCCGTCCGGGCTGGGAGCAGCAGTGACCATCTTTGGCTGGAGGCTTCTTGTGCTGCCGTCTGATGCTCAGACAGGTACCAGGCTGGAAACTTAACAGTCGTCGTCGTTCATGCAAATCTTGTACCCCGAAGTTCAGCCCAGCAGCCAGAAAAGTGCTGGACTGGCTGGTGAGGAGGCGATCACTTCTGCTTTGGGCATCTGGTACTTCCTCGTCTGGGCAGGGATGGTGGTGTGGTTGAGATCATGACTGTGTGTGAAAATTACCCCTCTCTTGAGCAAGCCATAGCATTTCAAAAGGGTTAGTGGTGAAACAGAGGAAATAAGAGAGAGTAGCCTCTAAACTGTAAAGATTACCTGGCTGTATGGTTTAGAGCAGATTTACCCTTGTGCCATTTAAAAATGAACTGTTATCCCTAATACACATGACCCCAAAAGTCTTGATGAGTATGTTTATTCAGTGTTTTGTTGGGTGTGCGATTACAAGAGTAGAAAGGCCCTTTTTTCATTCAAACAAAGAAAACCCCACATCTGCACCTCAAACTGAGAAGTGCTTTGAAGAGATGTGGGATTTTGGTGGAAGTGCAACATCCTCTTTGTTTCAGTGCTTGACTGAAATCAAGCCTGGCAATGGCTGCTGCCTGTTCTATGTCAAGGAGGCCAGAACTGACGCTGCAGGGAGAGTGGGGATTGTTCACTCTGAGGGACCCTCCCAGGTGCACACAGGCACTCCAGGTCATTTTGGTGCTTCATGCTGCATGGAAGAGCTGCTCAGTCATCTTGCCTTAGCGAGAGGCAGCACTTCACTGCATGGCTCCTCCTGTGCTCCCGCTCAGCAGGGACTGGGAGCTGGTGCCTATGCAGGCAGTGGGATGCTTTCCAGCTGCTGTTGCAGGCAGCAGTCCCTACCTGCTGCTTTGAGCACTGCTCGGGCCAGAGGCCTTGTCATTCCATTCTCGGACAGTTGCCACCACTTGCTCTCCCAGGATCAGTGATGTGGTTCCCTCCACGGCTTAGCAGGAGGAGCCCCCTTGGCATGAAGGAGTTTCTGAGCAGGTCTGAGGCAGTGCTCTGCAGGGAGACTAGGAAGCACTCAGCATCCAGCAGGAATAGTCATGGACTTTTAAAGACAATTCCAATAAAGTCCAGAGCATCCATTTCTTTGACTGAGATCGATAGTTCAGACTGCCCAGCAAGGAGCACGTGCAATGGATTTTCAATAATCTGCGAGGCACAGCTCAGGCTTGAGGAAAAAATTATTAGGCCTCATTCTGTGCCTCTAAATATGAGCATGCCCAGCAAGAGCAGTGGAGAAGGGAGAAGCTGATGCACTGGAGATAGTTAAAAGCTCAATTCCACCTCTGAGTGTGGGAGGGCACAGCCACTCGCAACTGCTATTTCTTAGTACTCAAAGATATCAGAGGATAAATTGTGGCTAACAAAAATAAAGACTGGTGTTTGAGATACTTCCTGTGCTTGCTGGTGGAGAACAAGGCAGAGTATTTTGAAAGTAAAAGCATATTTCCTGTGAAAAACTGCTGAAGTGACGTGTGAGATCCTTTCAGAGCTGGAGGCACAGCCACAGTGACTCAGGCCAGCAGTGCTGGCACCTGGAGATGGGTCTGGCTGGCTTGCTGTGAGGCAGAGTGGAGGTCACTGAGCACCAGCATGTCTAAACTTGCAGATAGGGAACAGGCACAGCATCATGTACTCCTCTTGCTGCCCTGGGAACAGGAAGAGAGTCTGTGTCCTCTGCCTGCAGACAGCCTTGAGAGCTTGATTAGAGAGTACAGGTTGGTTTGCCAGCAGGTATAAGCAGAACTGCCCTAATTGACTAAGTACATGCTCTAGAGGCTCAGCAGAGACCCAGTGTGGGTCTTCAGGCTGCCCAAGCACAGATGTGATCCCATCGTGGGTGTCAGGACTGTTTCTGTAAGCTGAAGGTCATTCCTGCAGTGCTCTCTCAACCCTGAGTTAGAAAGGCTTGTCTCCGAGTTAGCTCAGTCCAAGACCTCTCCCCATAAACTGCCTGGGTTAGGTTTTCCTTTAGTGCCTACCATGGCTGTGGGCTTGCTTATCAGCTGAATCGCTGCCCCCACACAGACCTGCATGTTTCCACTGGGAGCTGAATCCAGCTCACTGGCTCCCAGGTGCCTTCTCCTCTGCAGCAGCTCAGCTCCGAGGGAGGAGGCGGCTGGGAGCAGAGCTCAGCCCTGGCACTCTGCTGGAACCCAGCTGCTGGAGCAGGATTTCAAATCTGCAGCCGGGCTGTATCTCACAGTGGGTAGGAAGCACTTTGCACGGTGTCTGCAGTTACTCAGCTGTTGGAAACCTTTGTTCTGCACTGCTCTGTGTGGAGCTTGATATAGCTCAGATTTTTTTTGGTGCCTGAGTTCTATTACTGTCCTTGCTGGGTATATTTTAAAACTCTTCCACCCAGTGTTTTTTCTTTTTTTTCTTCGTTGTTTTTTGAACACTGTACATATGAATTTATTCCCTTAAGATCTTTCTAAACCAGAGATGCTCAAACTGAGTGTACACGTGACCTTATGGCAATAGGTGGGATAAGTCTAATAGGTAGCTTTGGTTTTCATTCCCAGCAGTTTTTCACAAGGTGAAAGCTACTTTTCTATCATCAAAAATGCAGTTTGTATAAAATGCTGGTTTTGCTCTCTCTTTTGCAACAATGCTGTAAGATCTACTCCAGAGTATCTAGTGGACAAACTCATTATTTCTCAAAGGCTTGCTGTATAGAAAGGGAAAAATACCAAATCTTCTGATGACAGCAGAAAACTAGGCATTTTATCTGAGTTTCACTAAGATATTCTTTGTCTCAGCCAGAAATAGGGCCTCCCCAGCCCCCCACATCTGCCTTGTTCTCAATCTTGAGGTCAAACCTCCTGGCCACAACCCTCTCTAACAAAAAGATATAGACACAAGTTGTAATCTGTGCTATGAAAATCTAATCTGTGACCTAATTTGTTGTGATACCATGAAGAACCTGTCAGTAGCGATCACTGTAACCCGTGGCACGGATGCACTGCCGGCTTTCCAAGAGCGCTCGCCCGCCGTAGCCCCAGAGGGAGCGGTGTCATGCCGAGTGTGCATGTTTGGGCTCCTCCACTGACAAATTTGGGGAATAATATACAGACAACTCTCAGATCACTTTTTTTATCCTCTTAAAATGAAAGTGGTATAGGCAGTCTTCCTATGTGTGGAAGTGAGCCTCCTCTTCTGCAGGCAATCCCTATGGAACAGGCTGGTTTGAAACGTGTGGGAAGGAAAATGAGATGCAATGAAAACTGGACAGTTTTTTCTGTGCACACCATAATAGCTGTTTACCTGTTCATTGCTCATTCCCCATGACCATGGCAGCAACTTGGATGCAACCCACTCACTGGGTGAGTGGTTAGAGGAGTGACTTGTCTGAATAATTTCTTACTAGTGGTAGCTGAGGTTGCATGGGCTGATTCTCAGAGGTCAAAACTGGCTGGCTTCTGGTACAGGCCCTTGAGTCAAGTTTGTTGTCCTTTAAGGAGAAAAACAAAGATCTTCTGTGGTATGTTACTGAAACTTATAGCACCACCAATCTTGCTCTGCAAGGCTAGAGAGGGAAGGAAAGGTTTACAGGTCAGGAATACACAAGTAATAGTCTGAAAAGCTGGGAATTGTATTCCTAAGTCTGTGCACTGCTACATCTGTCAGGGAGAAAACTTAACTGAGGAACTACTGCTCTATGAGAAACAACAGCAGAGCTGGGCTTCCATTTTGATTGTTCTAGAAATAACACTTCCTTTTTAATTTTTTTTTAATATTATCTTTAAAGTGCTTTACTTGAAAGTACTAAATTAAAATGTGCAGGGGCATGCAGTCTATTAATAACTGCTAAAATCTGTGTCTGTGTTTAGTGAGACACCTTCAGTCCACTTGGATTTTGAGATTTAGTAACCTAGATCCAGTAAGATGCATGTGCATGGTCTGATGCCTTCCCTGCTCACCCTCATGGGAGCTACCTGTGCTGCTGTTCAGGCATTTGCTCTCAAGGCATTTGAGCCTCTCAGGCATTTGAGCCTCCTCTTTGTTTTCAGTACTTTGTTCCCTAGCATACATTTGGTGTATGTTACCATAGAATACTTGCATTCCCATAGTAATTTTTGTGTTCTTTTTTTGTATTTCAGTTCCTTTTATCCACCCTGGGCACTCAGAGCTCAAGTTTCAATGTGTTATTTGTTGATTTTTGTTCACTCCAGGCTTTTCCCTCCACCCACTCACTTCCTCTCACAAATGTTTCCTCACTTCACCACTTTTTCACACCCGTTTCTAGCACAGGGTTGCCTCCCGCTGCGGGCAGGCTCAGCACTTCATGTACTGTTCACCTTTGCAGGAGATGGGGGGCAGATTCATGTGCCAGAGGAGGAGCAGAGGCAGGAGAAGGTGCTTGCACATGGGGGAGGAAAGGCGCAGGGGCAGGGAGAAGGGGTCTAAGTGCAGGTGTAGTTTGGAGCAGGAGAAGCAAGGGCTTGTAAGCAGGGTTGGGTGTATGGGTGGACAGAGTGAAGGTAGAGAGGGCAGATGGTTTCATTTGTGCTCATGAGCACAGCACATCGTCTGTGTGTGCACAGCTGAGAGATGGCAGGGATGGGGTGTCTGAGGATTGAGGAAGGTGCATCTCCAGACCACAAGGCAGCCGGGCCAGAGGCTCTGCTCCCTCCCTGAGCCCAGCACAGGCAGGCTGCTCTGCCACCAAGACTTGCTCTTGGAGCTTAATAGCTCCAAGTTTGAATGTACAGTTTTGTTCTTATTTTTAACAAAAAGGTTTCTCACCTCCCCTTGGACAGCACCAATTTCTTAACCACACGGAGTGCATCTGGCAGCCTACAACCTGTTAAAAAGAGAAAAAAAAAGCCCACCATGAAAATAGCATGTCTGTAGTTTTAAATTAGGCAACAGCTAAAATTAGTAGGAACAGGCATGTCTGTGGCTGTACAAACCAGCAGAGAATTAACATTCATCTGATACTGAGCAAGACAAGTAGAGGTTTGCAGCTCACACTTCCCTCGCCTTGTCCCACTCCTGTCCTTGCAGCTTCGCTTCCCTGAAGGGCTCAGTCAGCAGTTAGCAGAGAGCTGTGCAGATGCCACTAACCTTGTGCCAATACCAGTGCTACTTTCAGCACTCTGAAGTGCTACAACAGCCAGAGCATTTTTTACCACACTCCTTTAATTTCTTTGCTCAGCTGCTGTGAATGCAGCCTTGGAAGCATCGTGCTAAGGTCACTTGCTGTCAGAGCCCTGGATGTGGCCTGAGTCCCACGCTGGGGACCGGATCCACCCACTGTTTCCTCGGTGAGATAGGAGCCCCCAAGACACTTGTTTCCTCTCCCCAGCTGTGGTTTATTTTCCTCCACTGTAATTGTGTTGCTGTTAACGGGGCTGCAGTAAAAACCAGTCACTGAATTATTCACCTCACTGGAATAACTCTTGGGTGGTTTGGTTCTTTGCAGACTATTTTTTCATTTTATGTCCTGCTGTTGTTTTCATTTGCAGCATGACCTATGCAAACAGGTTTATTGGTGCAAGTTAAAATGTGCAATATACTGGGTGGGAAACAGTGGAAATTTGCTGGGAGAAGGGAAAATGATATGAAAAAGGAATCTTGAGATGCTGGGGAAGGGAGTTGCAGGAGGGGTAGTTGAGTTATTTGGCTCTGCTGGTGGAGGTGATACATGGCTGCTCCTATTTGGGGGTGGGGGTGATGTGTTTGAGGGAGGGGAGAACAACAAGAGCCTTCACCTCTCTCCCCCTTTCCCTGGGAACTGCCTTGCTAGGCCCTGTGCCCACTGCCAGAGTTGAACTCCTGGGAGTGAATGTTCTTCCACCCCTAGCATATCCAGAGGAATTGGAGGTCACTTGGAAATCAAAATTAAACAATGCCTTAGTGAAGCTTTGAAAAGTTTACTCAAAGGACTGGCGTTGCTCCAGTGCAGTTAAACTGATGACCTCCCTCCAGTAAAATAGCACAAGAGAGGGCTCTGGTTTGGCTGTCAGCAGCCAGCAGTGGCTGCAGAGCTTCATCCTGGGTGGCAGGGCTGGATTCACACTCCTCACACCATCCTCCCACCAGAGCAGCGAGAGCTGGACTGCGTCAGGCACGTTGCTGCCCAGAAGCCTCTGGTAGGGATTGAACTGGAAGCTTGTGAGGTGTCTGGGCTGTTTCAGGCAAGGGGCAGGGACCACCCCAAAATGGGAATGGACATGTGGTTGTTCTCTGGACGACCACAGCAGCCCACAGAGGACCTGGAGGAGGCTTATTTCCCTGGGTCTCATCTCTTCTGCACTGCCCTATGGAGGGACAACTGGAGCCTGTCTCTGTGGGCCTCATCCAGCAGTGTGCTCCTGGAAGTGGACAGCTGCTGCCATCAGGACAGAGTTACGTGATGGATGATTTATGTTCCCTCCAACTCAGTGTTTCACCAGAGACACAGACACACAGGGTAGTGTCAAGGGGAGTATCTCTGTGGTCTGCAAACTCCAGGGATGATTTGGGTTGTCATGGTGGTGGGTCTGGACCAGTCAACAAAACGCAAAGGGAAAAAATAGGAGCCCTATTCCCAAGACTGTTCTGGCAGTTCCAGAACAGAGCAGGGCAGATGTTCCTGCCTGTGAATCCTAACTCTGGCTGAAGGACTTGCTGAAGACCAAATACAATCTTCTGTGCATTAGTGGGTCTGTCTGGCATCTTGCTTACGTTGAGGCACTAAGAAATATTTACTGTATGTTAGTGTTCTCATGTTAGTGCTCTCTGAGTATCACAGATATCCACTGGCAATGGCCTACAGCAATCCATCAAACGAGAATGAAGAAGGCACTCCCATCTCTATGTAAGGGTTGGAACCAAGTTTCTTTTCCAGGATTACTGCCTTGAAAGGAGATGCTTTTAGGAGTGGCTCAAAGTTGCAAATCTTATACTAGGACTTCTTGTGCTCAGAATCCACAGCTGATATATCCTAGTTACTGGCATTACTATAATTGCATTTAGGAGCAAAACTTGCTTTAGATCCACTTGTACCTGTTCCAGGCCTGCTGCCCCATTGTGTGCCTGGACATAACATGATTCACATCATCTCTACAATACATTTATGTATTGAGGTATGAATGTACCCGGGACCTTTAGCTGCTGTTCATACAAAAAAAAAATGGTCTTTTAAAGTTGTTGATGTTCTGTTTGTTCTGTCATCTTTTTCTTAAAAAATGAACTACCTGTTGTGAGAAGCAGTCAGTGGATACACTCAGAACTCTTGTTCTGTGAGAAAATGCCACCTGAGTGGTGACTCTTCCCTCCCTCGTGCCTTTGCACAGGGCTTCCAAGAGATCATGTAGCTGGTACAGGACCAGTAAATTCATCCCCCTGCAGACTCCTGCAGCATGTCAGTCAGTTTGAGGAAGCAAGAGAGGAGAGCAGGGGCCCAGAAGGAGAATACTGTGCTTGAGTGAGCATGTAGAAAAGGACTGATCCTGATAACCCTGTGTGCTTGCTGATCCAACTGGCAGGCCAGAGCACTTTCCAGAGCCCTTGGAGAGGTCCATCTGATTCAAGGCCACCAGAAAGATCGTGGCTTATCAGCACTTTGCCCAATGCTGCACAGAGTTGTTCCTGGGCAGTTGTTTTCATAGAGCTGGATACAGTCATTTGTATACTGCACAGCATTTGGGCTTTTCCTCTTAACTCTGTTGGGCATTCTCATACGTGTGTCTGCGAGGGAAGTTGTGTTCTCACTCAGCACCAAATTGGTGTAACTTCCCCTGGGCAGCAGCTCCCAGAAATGCAACCCCTTCTGCACCAGCCCTGCTGAGGAAGGGGAAGGGCAGAGGCTGCTCTGCAGGGGGACTTTGGCAAGGAACTTGCCTTGTGTTTTTTCTCTTCCCCTAGTTCCTCATGCACGAAATGATCAGAGTCCTCATGCTCCCCCTGTCATGTGACATTCACCAGCTGGGGTGTCTGCAACAGGGAATGCTCATGTCCACTCAAGAGGAGACACGGGCTTCCTGTGAAATCCCCCTGTGAAGTAATAGCACACACCCCATCCGCATTACTACCCATGTGTCCAGCATACCCCAGCCTCTCATCAGCCCTGCTGCTAGGAGACTTTGAGAGGCAGTCAGAGGTGTCCTTGCTGCTGGGGGAAACCAGAGCCAGCCCCTGCAGGCCCTGCCTGACAGTCCCCTCTGTTGGGAGATGCTCACGTACAGGGGGATGGGAGGCAGATGAGCCACGTTTCTGCCCCCAGTGCCCTGCCTGCAGCCATGGCAGTGACCCCCAGGCCTTGGTCCAAGGGCAGGTGCTGGTAGTTCACACCCAGTTGAGACCCAGCAACTTGCCAAGTGATCCTTCCCCAAAGTTGCTCCATATCTGCCTTACCCTCTTCTGCAGGATAGAGCTCAGACCAACACTCAGGCTTTGCTGGATTTCACTAAGGTTTGACCTACGAGGAACTCATTATCTGTCAGGCAGCTGTGGATGTGTTCTAAATGTTTGTTTAGATCATCTTTCTCATAGTGTGCTGAATAATTTCTGAGCTGGAAGAGCGGCCAGAGCATTGACCTGGGAACAAATTAAGCAACCCTCCCTTGGTGTGTTTTTTGTTTTGTTTTGTTTCCTGCACTGTTGGGCTCCAGTCCTACCATGGATTTCACTGACATCAGTAAAACACTGACAAATCCCCCAGGTGGAACTCAGCAGAATCAGAGCTTTTCGGAGATGGAAGCATATTCAATAGTGCAAAAGACATATTTTCAGAGGTTACTGAAACTCTGTCCCTTATCCCAAAGCCTCCTTTTGCCCTAGACACTATTATTGCAAGTGCAATAGGTGAATTTAGGTTCCAGACCCATGAGAGGATGTACTAGTTAATACAGAAAACTAGAAATTGTCCTTCCTCTCTCTGATGTCACTTTTATCCCTTGAGTGTACAGAGATTAAAAGATAGTTGATGAGCATACTAAACATTCATTGCACATTTCTCTTCCAGTATCCAGCTGACCTCAAATCTAGAATGAAATGAATTTGCATTTGTTTCTAAAAGTGTCTCATTTTGTGAATCAAAATGTCAACACATTTGAAAATGGTCCCACATGAGACATCTGTATCTCTTGGATTTTAAATTGCTGGATCAATGTCTCATTAGTACTAAGGGTGTTTAAAGGACAAATTCTCTGCCTACTGCAGAGAAAATTTACCCCGAGGTATGACATTTCACCTGCCTCTGAGTATAAGATTGTTGAATATAATGGACCAGAATAGCAAGATTTGCACATGCTAGTAACAAAAGCGGATGAGCAGCAGATCCCATTACAGAAAACCTTTCCTCTTTTTTCTCTCTCCTCATTTTTCAGCCATTAAAACTTGCATACTCTTTGTAATTTATACTACTGCGCTATTCAGAAGCCTATGGCAGAATTTGGGCACAGTTTAGTCGTGTACCATATGAGTGGATAAAGAGAGCCCTGAAGAGCTTCCACTCAAAAGGGCATGAGGAAATGAGAGCACCAGGGTACATCCAAGGTCTTTTAGCACAAAGCTCCAGCTTCACCAGTTCCTGCGCTGGACCACAGACCTACGAGCCCCATCACGTGCCCTTCTGGTGGCAGCTCTGCTGAGGGACAGGGCTGTGCCACAGCTTGTCTCTGCCCCTCAGCGTGGCTCTGTCCTGAGGGAGCAGGAGGACAGTTGGCAAGTCTCGACCCCCTCCTCCTCAAATGAAAAACAGAGGCAACTGGGCCGAGCTATCAGCAAAATAAAGCACTGCAAATAATCTGAACCCAGGGGCACGGCGAACCTGAGCCTGTGCTGAGACATGTTTACCCGAGGAGGTGCCAACATAAC